TTGGCTAAGGAAGCTCCTTCCCTTAATACTTAGATCTCAGGTCTAGTGTTTATCTACTTCCACTGCTGAATAGACTCTCTATATAATTACTCCCTGCCTTATATGTTTAATACAGGTTCAATCCTATATGTTCTACATTTTATCCACAGGACACTATCTGTTTTTTGGGGGCTTTCCACATTGGTGAGTTAACCGGCGGTCGGCTTCATCGTTGTCTCTTTCAGAGGTGCGGTGGTCAGAGTCATCAGCTGATATTTCCAAGACGGACCAGGCAGCCTGCGTTGCTTGGGTACGTATTGAGGCAACGGGGGGAGAGGTCTGTCCAGTAAGCGCCTTTCAGGGGTTCTTAAGTGTTCAGTCGGAGATGGGGGGGTCTCCGCTCACTCGTTACCAACTCACGGCAATGCTCCGCAGGGCGTTGTCAGCCTGCGGAGTGGATGCACAGGGGTACTCGGCACATTCCTTTCGGATTGGGGCCGCCACTCAGGCGAATTTGCTGGGCTACTCGGCTGCGGAAATTAATCGCATTGGTAGATGGGAATCGTAATAGACCTGTCTGTTGGTGAAGCACCCCAACAGCCAACAGTGGTGAATATTTGCTGGCATTGATTATCAATAAAGCTGTGGCCATTGCCCTTAACCGGGTGGGGGTGTTCCTGGGGTAGTCAGCATTTAAGTTTATTATCCTATATTGAATTTTATCTAGAGGTATTCCTTGTGGGGCTGGTTTTTCCTCCTATGTTTAGAAAGGTAACCATCCTCATTAGTCTTCATTATTTGATTTCAAGAGTTAAGCCCTATCTACCTCTGTAACCCTTTCCAAACTGTTAGGATAGGTTTTCGTCCTATTCTTTTGTAGTTTCTTCTTCCATTTTAACCTTCATCTGGTGAAGTAAGAGGATGGGAGATCTGTTCATCTGCTCACCTTAGTGTTCTCTGTACAGTGCTTGGGTATATAGAGTTCCAAGCAAACTGTGTCAACAATGACCGTTGCATGCTGGGAGACACCAGGAGGATCCAGGAGGAGAGGGGGTGAGGTGGCTATTTTCTATTTAAACTGGTGAGTGCTTTGTCCTTCAAATAAATGCTTTGTCCATCAAACTGCTACTATCAAAGAAGGCAAGGGAAATAGTATAAATTAGATCAACAATGTGTCAATTAGCTGTGAATTCTCCTAGAAACATAACTACAGGGCTGATGGGGGCCGGTTGTCTGAGAACCTTTATCTTAGAAGTGTTACATCTGTTTAATTGGAAATTACAACAAATCATGAGTTATTTCTTCATGTAAATGTTACACCATTTTCCAAAGCAGGAGGGAGTGAAGTAACCGAGATGCATCAAATCATCCTCGCTTTTGTCCTATAGAAAAGGAAGGAAATATTTCCCCATCTTGAGCTCTAATTTCTAAAGAAACATGAATACACTTCCGCTTTTCCTCTGTGCAGTACGTGCTGGACTTTTATGTATATATCACATAGATAAGTCCATCTAATTAAATCTATATGAATTACAGGTTTCAATTTAAAGTATGCAATGTGTTTATTCTCCAACAATGTGGTTGACATGTCACTGTCAATGGTGTCACTCAAAAAATCCAAATTGAAAAAAAATGACCTAGCTCAATATATAAAAATCCCCTGAAACAACAAAGAGTACCTTTGGTAAACCACTACTTAGCATTCTATATGCTGCAACAGTTGGCAGAGCACAGATGCTTACTTCTCTACTGATAGAGAGTTTTTAAAAATGTATTTTTAAAATGTTATACAATTCTCAATATATAAGCAGAGGGTAAAATATTTGTTGTGGTCCCACAGGGCTGTGGTATAAGGTTTTTTATTAATCTGTATATTTAAAGACGCACTCGAAGCACATGGTAGTGGTCATGGTGCAAGGGGTTCCCTGGCACTGTCCCCCAGGTAAGAGTCAAATCATTTTCATTCTCCTACTGTTAAACGAACCACAATTCCGAATCGTATTACAATGGTATCCTTGCCCTCAGTCCTATAATGAATGACTGCCTGGAGTGGAGCCAATCAGGATAGAGAGGCTTAAATATGTACATTTATTGACAGTGATACAGTGCAAAACCATGTATGGTCATTTTGGCGAGATTTGCTACAGGGCAAACCTGGGGTTCCATACAGACTAATTGTTAATAGATACCAAAACTGTTCCTTATTTCCAAACAAAAAAAATATTTATCTTAATCATGTTTCTTAATTACAATCATGTCTGCAAAAAGTTATAAAGTGGATGTTTTTGCCAAGCTATATTTAGACCTAAATCTCCCTCAGCATGACTTTCCATAATTCCTCTAGATCCCCGACCCCTTTTCTTTGTCGCCTCCTTGTTGTGTTTTTCTCCAGTAAAATTATGTTTTGTGACATTTTATACCTTTGACAGCTCTTTAACAATGGTCACAATATCTCTGTTTCTTAACCATTTCCCAAATCAAATGTAAACATTTTTATTTTCATGTACTTTGCAGAATGAAATCTGGTTAATAACATCTCATTTAAACTTTAGTTACTCTGGTCCTCCAGATGTTGCTGAAGTTAAGCGCCCACGATTCTTTGAATTAAATAGTTAGCCAGAGAATCATGGGAGCTGTAGTTCAGAAACATATAGAGGGCCAACACTTGGAGAACCCTGCTGTAGAAGAACAAATTTATCCGCCAGAAGCCAATAATTACTGTATATATGCTGAAAATGTAAGCTCGCCCTCTGCTTCCAAACAGTAAAGGAAGTTTGAATAGGTCATATCATTAGTACAGACAGGGAGCGGGGGATGAGTGAATGGACTACAATTTCACTGTTACCATTACATTAGCATTCCAAAGACAGATACAGATTGCTATAGCAGTTTTATTTGAGAAATATTTGATGTAACTGTACTTACAGTATGTGGGCAGTGTGCTGAAATGCACACATTCTTTTTACATTCTGTCTCCACTTTTAGCGAGAGGTACAATTAATAATGCCATCAGGGTTCTTGCAATTACTTATAATCGAAGTATTTGACCATTTTTTTTATTTAGTCTTAATAATTACCATATGTGAGAAAAATAGCATTTTTAATTTTTTAAAGTAATATTTCAGACCCTGTGTGAAATATAGCAAGATGAAGGACACTGAATACTGTCTAAAGCTTTAACTTTCCCAAATATTTTATAAGGCTTAAAAAAATACGTGAATAATAAAAATTCTAAATGATATATTTTCAATTTATAAAAAATTTCTGTAAAGCAATATATACAGAAACTTGCTCTTATTGTATGCGTATATGCTAGTTATGCATCTCCTGCTTCAAATGCATGTTATGCTAATATTTTTTCAAGCAAAAATTGCTAAGCAGTGCAGGGGCTAATATGTCATTGTTACCTTTATTAAGGAGTTCAATAAAAATTAAGGACATCAAACTTTTATAAGAAGGAAACGGGAAAAAGATTACTGCTCTCCTCATTTTAATCTTTTTTATTCTTATTCTCAGTAACGACTATCGTTGACACCTCATATTTTGAAAACTATACGATTTTCACCTAAAGAATGAAATATAGTCCTCAAAAATCTGGGGTACCGACAAGGTTACCCATCACTACTCTATGTATTCATAATATTCATACCTTAAATGGGTAGATTTTCATGCACTCAAATGATTGTAGTTGAATAAACCTGAATCTGAACCCCGTTTACATTGCAGTGCTAAGATTACCGTGTGCTTACAATGCGTCTTTAAATATAGAGATAGTAAAACTACCAGACTTCACTAATAGCACTTCCTGTAGTTTCACGGAGTTTAACTCCATGAAACGACACTGGATGTCATCATGCTCTGCATGAGAATGTCAAGTGTTTTCCAAAAACCCTATAGGAAATCTTTGAGTTAACGCTTTCCTACGGGGAATACTTAATGTGCTCACTAGCTCACCGGCTGACATCGGCGGACGAAGAACTAGACCCAGCACGTTGACACTGGGATTAGTTAAGTGACTGAATTTTTTTTTTTTTAATCTTTTTGGCCAGGGGGGCCGAAAAGGCAGAGAATCGGAGATACAGTTTAGTATTAGGAAGACATCTTTGTATGCGTAACACTAAATTGTTTCTTTAAACATCCTTGGCCCAGACGTTTAAAGGTCTGCATTCCCAAAACAAACGAAAAAAAGATTAATAAGCAATGATCATTATCTACAAACTGGTCTAACATATTCTTTAGTACATACCATTTCTCTCAACAAGCACCCAGTGATAGGCTTAGAGCATCAGCAGACTATCGCCAGATGCCCGGCTAAACCTTCCACAAACTGCAGCTTTGAGAGGAAGGAATTTTCACACAAAAAAAAAAAGTAAAATTTATTGGCATTATAAGGACTACTGATAAGTGTGTGCTACAAAAAATAAAGAGTGTGCATTCTCCCCTTTATTGACAACTGGAGATGCACCTGGTTTTGAACAGGGTCTGCCATTTCATTTGGTTAAGTGGGTAGAACCAAACAAGTTAGTGGGACAGCGGTCCACCATCTTTAAACTTCACCAGCCGCTGTAGCGTTTCAAAATTCCTCCACCAGCTCTCGTCTGAACTCACCAATTTAACTTTTACATTGTAAGCTCACGGTCTCGGACAGGCCCTCTACATGTTGTATTGGTCTGTTCTAATTGTATTGTCTTTTTCCCAATTGTACAGCACTGCGGATTGTGTTGGCACTTTATAAATGCCAGTAATAAATACATAAGCACTGAAGTTACGTTGTGATGGGGGCATGAGTGTTCATTTAAGCTCTGGGCCCCATTCATCTACAGATTTACACAAAAAATGTGTGCTTTTCTAATCAGGTTTTATCTAAGAGTTGGCCTGAATCCTGTCACTTCTCTGGCTGTAATGCAGTTATGATGGAGCAAGAATTCTGAATAAGGGGAAGTTATCACACTTTGCATTATACTAGTTTCAGAATCCCCTATTGGCAGTTTTGAGGTGTGTCACTGCTTCCTCTTGTGTCATTACATTCTTAAAGCACAATATAGCAGTAAGGAGACAGACCGCCTTAAAGAGCAGGCTCCCTGCCAGTGGCAGAGTTAGACTAAGACGTAGAGGCAGAGGGGATAATATCGTATCTGTGAAGCTCAGCTCACTCTTTGCATAGAGACACCACCTGTAAACCACAGACTTTCCGCAAAGGGTTCCCAAACATGGCTCTGGTTGAGATTATGCGTCTTTGGAGTGAGGGGGTAGTAGCTGCAGAAAAGGGGGATTGGAATGAGGCCCTAAAATGTTTCACCTCCATCTCAGACCCTCGAGCCAAAATTTGCTTCAACATTGGTTGCTGCCATCTTGTGCTGGAAAACTTACAACTGGCTGAGGAGGTGAGTAAAAAGTAACCATTACACATTAAAATCAGGGAATATTTTTTAAAAAATGTGCAGTCCTACAGCATACCACGGTTTTAGACATCTTGCAACACCTGTATTTGCTGTCGTGGCATAACAACTTGTATGTCAAACCTTTTGCACACAAAAAAAAATAGAATAAAAAAATCAGGGAATAAAACTTAATAAATGGATTGGATACAATTCTAATGGAACGTTAAGCAAACAATATAAACATTTAACTACAAATTACTAAACACACACACACACACACACATACACCAAAAACAGTGACATTTTAAAAGCTTTAACATGTTGCCATGACAACAGGAGTATTTGACCTATGTCTATCCTTTCTCTGTGTCACATGACTACATATTAACATTAATACTGTTTGTTAAAGTAGCAGTTTGTAAAACAATTTGTAAGACAGCAGTTTTTATTGACACGGCTCTGTGCGTGCTATTTTTTTGTCCCCAGGGTCAACATAACTGATAAACAACACCATTCTCTAAACTTAGCAAACAGCATGTTCTCATAAAAATCCAAGGTTAATAACAAGAACTAAATCACTTCCAATATAAAGTTGCTCATACAATGCATTAAACAAAAGCAGGACACAGTCTAAAATGAAATAAGAGTAATGCTAAGGATTTTTACCTGGCTTAGATCACTAACAATACCAACGGATCTTATGCTACATTGTTTCTTAAAAATCCTAGTTAACCTTAAATGGTTACTACAAGCGCCATGACAACTCCAATGTTTCAAAGTGGTTATGGTGCACAGATTCTGTATGTACAGCATTTCAGTGTGAAATGCTGCATATACGGAGAAGTTTAATGTTGCTGTCAGAGGTGTAAATTCGCCTCCAACAGCCTTCATTAGTCAGCCAGCAACATTCTCAGCCCCAGAATGAATGGCAGTCTAAGCATCCAGTTTCTGCATCTCTGTGGTAGCCATATACCTTTTAACAGACATGAGAGGAGGCTTCGAGGTAGGTGGGGCCCATGTAAGAGGCAAACCGTTGTAAAACAACTTGCCTTCTTATTGAGGAATGGTACCAGGACACTGCTGGCATCACAACCAATACTGCAGGCTTTAGTCGTTATGATGCTTGGACTAATCATTTAAAGGGGAACAATGATCAAAAGTGCCCACCTATTACTTTAATTAATTAAACATCTTAAAAATCTAAAAAAGATTTTATATATAATTTTCAATGTTCCTGTCTAGTGATGTCCCGAACGGTTCGCCGAGCGGTTCGCCACGGACTCCAGTCAGCAGACACATTCCAGCCAATCAGCAGCAGACCCTCCCAACTCCTGGACAGCATCCATTTTGAAGCTGCATTCTTAGTGAGCTGTCCAGGAGGTGGGAGGGTCTGGGAGGGAGGGTCTGCTGCTGATTGGCTGGAATGTGTCTGCTGACTGGAGTCCACGGCAAACCGTGGCGAACCGCGTCGAACCGTTCGGCGAACCGTTCGGGACATCACTATTCATGTCTAACATGACTTTATAGTTGAACCCCAAGCCCTCTCGGCTCTTTCTGGGAGCAGAAAGAGATCCTTTCCAGGTTTGTAACTGGAACAAGTTGGACAAACATGAAGCATTAAAGTAGGAAGTAAAAAATCCTACTGGTCTGTGCTCTAGTCAGGTAATTGACAAATATCTGTAATGACTTTAACAAATTGTGGCATTCAGAGCTGAGTGAAAATCAGGGATACAGACGGTCTGCCACAAAAACAACAATAATGCCAAGTTCGTATGGAGCCTAGACTGACCCATTAAACAGTAATAGGGATTTCTTCCCTACATAAGCCTTTTGACCTCTCACTTTCTTTACATATATACTATGGCTTGATAATATAAGAAAGAGGCAACCTAAAGCTGTTTTCTAAGACCTGCTACCATCATTCCCTGCATCTCGTTGTGTGTTCTAAATTGTTAGTAATTTTTGGGAGAACTTATAAAAATGTTGTAAAAACATTATTTTGTTTATTGTGTGTGTTACACTTTGCTCCAGATCTGATTTTCATAAGTAAAGTCTTGTTTTCCTGTACACTGTATAATGATAGACCTGAAGCTATTATTATTATTGCCATTATATGTAGTGCTTTACAATATTATGAGGGGGGATGTAACTATAAATAGGACAATTACAAGAAAACTTACAGGAACAATGGGTTGAAGAGGACCCTGCTCAAGAGAGCTTACATTCTATAGGATTCTCATGGTTTCATCAAACTTTAAATTTTTAAGGTGTTCTGCACATATTGGGTGAATTAATCATCAACATCTCTGCTCTTTAGGCATTCACATTAACCATAGAAAGAGACAACCATTTGGCTGTAGGATATTTCCAACGTGGCCTGGTCTTCTTCAAGAGTGGCAAGTAAGAAATATCGGACACTGCAAGCATTATATAAAAATATAATAAAAGTGGTTGTGTTTCTAAATCCATATTAGATTTTATGATCTGTCTGTTCAAGGTTTTTATCAGATAAGACTCCTATAATGCTGAAGGACCACCAATATTATATATTGCTTATGACACCAATTAACTTTGTAAAAAACAGACCTTTTAAAGTATACAGCTTTTTTCCTGCAAAGGTTCCTTTTGATAGACAGTCGCTGGATGTTACATTAGGAGTTACCAACAGCTAGCTCGCAAGGTGTTGTAATCCCAATACCCATAATGCTTTGTTTCTCAGCCTTTGCCATGCTGTGTAGACTATGTGTTGAATGCCCCTGTATCAGAGCATAGCTACAGCAAGGCAAATATTTAGCATTTGATTAGTAAAGGTCAACGTATATGGTGGTTGGGTTAACAAAGGTCAATGTATATAGTACTTGTATTACTAAAGGTCAACGTATATAGTGCTTGGATTAATACAGGTCAATGTATATATAGAGCCTGGGTTAATAAAGATCAATTTATTTAGTGCTTATATTAATAAAGGTCAATGTATATAGTGCTTGGATTAATACAGGTCAATGTATATATAGTGCTTAGGTTAATAAAGATCAATTTATATAGTGCTTGTGTTAATAAAGGTCAACATATATAGTGCTTGGGTTAATAAAGGTCAACGTATATAGTGCTTGTATTAATAAAGGTCAATGTATATATATAGTGCTTGGATTAATAAAGGTCAACGTATATATAGTGCCTGGGTTAATAAAGGTCAACGTATATATAGTGCTTGGATTAATAAAGGTCAACGTATATAGTGCTTGTATTAATAAAGGTCAATGTATATATATAGTGCTTGGATTAATAAAGGTCAACGTATATATAGTGCCTGGGTTAATAAAGGTCAACGTATATATAGTGCTTGGATTAATAAAGGTCAACGTATATAGTGCTTGTATTAATAAAGGTCAATGTATATATATAGTGCTTGGATTAATAAAGGTCAACGTATATATAGTGCCTGGGTTAATAAAGGTCAACGTATATAGTGCTTGGATTAATAAAGTTCAATGTATATATATATAGTACAATGTGTACAGTTTGGTTTAATAACGGGAACGTTATAAAAGTTTTGGATTAATAAAACAAACCAGGAAGTCAAAGTATATATCAGTGTAATAAGAAATGTCAAATTGAACTAGAACTGTAGGCTAGTATTAAATCCAACATGGTAAAGGTATGTGCATTATTCTACCATGCTGCTACGGGTTACAAATTATCACCTTGTTATTGTGTCAGATACATGTCAGCATTACAAGACTGGGTACGGACCTTCACAGAAATGCGTGGGAACCAGCTGATTGACTACAAAATCCTGGGGATGACCTTCCAGCTCTACAGCTGTGAGGTAAGAAGATTATGAAAATCATTAAAAGAGGATCAGCTTCAGAGAAACAAGATGTATCAATTATATGTCTGTTCTCATGCTGGGCCTACAGTAGTTAATTGTGAGTTTTTTTAGCTATGTTGTAACTTTACATGGCAGAATTGGTAACAGGTTTTGCACTCAGCTGATCCTCAAATGTTGACTTACTTGCTTTTAAATAGAAGTGACATGCGCAGTAGGCCACTTGACCAATACAGTTTTAAAACAGAAAAATCGTGAAAACAATATTTTATTGTTTATCACTTTTATTATTTTAGAGATATGTTGTAATATAGGCTCTTTGTGTATTATATTCATAAATGCACATATGTAAATGAACAGTTATTTTCGGTTCATCTCCCAGCTTACCTTTGTTCCATGGGAACCACCATGTTTAAGCACTCTCTGGTCGGACATTATCTGACCAAAGACTACATGTTACTTGAACAGCTGAAAAAAACAGTCTCGGAATGTTTTTTCTTTCCTTTTTTTGATGCCAGACACTTGCACATGAAATCAGGATTTGTGAACTTGCAGTAGCTCTCAGTGGCCTATGATCTCATAAGTGGTGCTTCCAACCAATAAGAATTTAAATATGGCTGCTTTAAATTCTTATATAAATATGTCTTCGTAGTCCTTTATTTTTATTTTTTTGGTCAGATTTTGTATAATATCGCTCTGGCGCATGCCAAACTGGGAGAATGGGCCAAATCTGAAGAAAATCTCCTTCTAGCTCTCAGTCAGAAATCCGAGCCCCGACACAGCACCAAGATTGATAAAGCTCTTCAAAACATCTTGGTAAGTATTATGTGAGTTACTGTGTTTAGGTTAGATTTGTACCAGTCTATAATGGAAATGAAATGATTTTATCTCCCGCCCAGGTTTAAGAATGCGTAAACATGTTTAATATGTTCTTCTGATCTATGTAAAGTTTTTATATTTTATTGATTGGGTGATTGATTATAGGGACTTTTTGATAACTTATTTAAAACCATCACTACGGATATAGGGTACTTAGCTGGAGATGTCCTTATAAGAAAGACTCTCACAATCACTTCATAAGTGATCTCGCTTCTTGGTGGAAGTGTCTTTTTTTTAAATCCAAATGATGCAGAAATGAACAATCCTATAAATATAGCATAGAAATGCTATTTTAGGATCGGAAACTTTTCATGACAACTGACGTTGATGCACACTTTACTAATCGGGAAGTTCAAGAGCACTTCATGGAAAGAGTGCAAGACTTAAAAATAAGTTAAAGATAACTTAATTTTATGTAATTGCACAACAGCATAAGTCAGCATTTTAGTCCCATTACCAAACCTCCTTAATATGTTAAGATAATACGAATGAAACATTGTATATATGCCAATGAATATTTGCTTAAAACAAAGTTTTGAGCTTTAAAAAAAAAAATCATTTACATTTATTTTGAAGTCCTATAACTGCTTTCCTTCACATCGAGAAATAAATTTATATTTTAATATACCTTTTCCACCTTATATCTGCAAGGCTTTGCTGGCGCATTATATTTTAGGACTGAGCAGGTTATAAATCTGCTGAACTCTCAATGCTTTTGCTTATTACTAGACATATAACTTTTTAAACATGTGTGACGGCTTACTCTAATCTGTCAGCATCAAAGTGCAAATGTAATTAGAAAATGACTTTATTTTAGAAGACATTTCTTTTTATAGCTGGTGGATTTTGTAAAATTAAGTAATCATTTCTGGATGGATATGACTAATAATTCTTTCATTAATATTTAATATTTCCTTTTAGAAACAAAAAGATTTTCCTCTGGCGCAAATGCCAAAGGGGAAGATGTTCCAGCCCAATGAAAAGCTGATTGAGCAGCTGGATAAGAGAGATTTCTTGGGCAAAGCTTTGGTATGTCGGGTCAATGCAATAATAACCACAAGCCATTAGAAAATGGGCAATGGGATATAATCTCTGGTATATATCACATAAAGAGAAATTGTGATCTGCCAAATAAATATATATATATATATTCATCTGTAATAGTTTAATCAATGAGACTCTTTTTGAAGACATATCTGCTGGTTTAATACAATGTGTGGTAGAACGTGGTGATAACCATATATAAGGGTGTCACAAATGACAGAATGTAGCTTACATAGAGGCAAAAACCATAACCCCCATGCCTTGTGATGCATCATTTCCCAATCTGGGGTACTCAATGTTTTGAGGTCAGCTCAGGCTACAACTTTATATGAAGTGCCTGGTGTAGAGACTACCTTAGACAAATGTTCAACTCAGAGAGTGTCTTTTAACTGTAGCAATTTGCAGTTTTATAAGCCCAACTGCAGCTGTAAGCCAGCCCCTCAGTGCTGTCAATCAGGCAGTTGGAACAACGAACCCGTTATTTAATACCACTTTTTGACAAAGTTCTGTCTCGTTTTATATTACAGGTTGTAGCTTCTGTGGTTGATAAGGACAGTTTTTCTGGTTTTGCTCCTCTGCAACCTCAGGTGAGCACTTGTGTCTGCTTCTGCTTTGATAGTAATGGTAGTGTAGGCTATCCGCTATACATGGATATAATGCATTCTGTAAGTATCATTTCAAACATGGTCTAGAATACAAAATGTACTGTCTGCACTGCCAGTGCTAATTCATCAAGTATGTGCTTACAAACTACTTCCTTGCAAGAATAAAATAAAAAGTATAAAAATATACATTATTCAAGATATGTATTGAAATCTAACCACTCGCTGATGGCATATATCCAACCATGTAGTGCATAATGTGTGCACCCAGAGAAAATTACCATCTACATTTTACTTTATAAATACATCTTTATTTATGAACTATATTTCTCTTGATGCTCAGTCAGCCGGAAGGAAATATAGTTCAGTGTGGCCCAACAAACCCAGCACAGTGATCTGTCAGAACTAATGGAGCACTATCCAAACTGGACAGCAATGTACCCACTCCTAATGCTCTTGGCCCATCACCAACATGTAAGAGGGATGGATTTTCCCTCCTGATGATGTGCAAGTGTAGTTTATATAATATCACAGTGGAGAAAGGCAAGGGGGACGAGGGAGGGCCCGCAAACTTCTTACACCTCTAAAAAATAATGTGCCAAAAAGCGGGCACAGGCATTGATAAAATTATAGCCTCCTGCCACTAGACTGAGCTGAAATAATTATTGTGCTTGGAGTGACCCTTAAAACAGCTGTCTTAAACCCCCTTAATTTCAATGTGGCGTATATCAATAAAGTTAAAGTTCTAAATCCTGGGTTTAGCGAATGGCATAGAGGGAACATATTTTACAAGTGGGGCTTTACCGTCAATACATTTGTAGCTGATATCATGAAAGTAACCCTTTGGTATTTCCATATAGACCAGAAACCCCCCACCTCGTCCAAAAACCCCAGAAGTCCTCACGTAAGTAACATTTGGGTCTTATATACAATTACAATTTGAATTAAATCAGCTATTTTAGGTGCAGAAACAAACTCAGACCTAATGTATAGAATGCAGGTAGAAATACAGAGGATTTATATTTTTTAGTTTTTCCATAGGGCCCGAGGGGCAATCTCCAGGATGTAACAATTTTACCAGCAGCATTTGCTTCGGCAATGGATTGCGTGGTGACTGCTGGTGTATGTTGGACAGGATTAACCTAAGTATACTGACAGAAAATTGGTTTATTTGCTAAATTGAGGAAGATATACCTAAGAATTACACATTTTACACCAAAATCGCCAAGTAGTAAACGTTCTCTTACTCAACTACTTTTCCAATCTGGCTATTGGCTTGCTCTAGAGAGTAAGCCCCATATTTACTGTATACAGCAAGTATATCATCTGTGCTGGTCATATCTCTAGTACACTTTTTAATAAACATTCAAGTAGAACTCAGCTTTTGAAGATCTAAAAGGTATTTAATGGACATTAACTTTATGTCTTAGATCTGTCTTTGTTTGAAACATAGCAGGTGAAAGACATTGGGTTAAAATATCAACAAAAGACATGAAAAAAAGTCTTACGTGTAAAACGTTTGCTTGTGTATCCTACCATATATGTGTAGGTGGCTGCACATGAGTAATGGAAAGTTATGAATTTGTGAAAATTTGATCCCCCCCCTTCCCTTTCTATTTTTTTCCCTTTGAGGCAGTGGGGTGTAGCGGAGAGGCAGTATGATCCACGATATCTCCGCTGGGTAACAGGAACAACAAAGGATAATCCAGGGAATCAGCATATAGTAATCCAAACAGCACTGCAGTAACCCTTCCTTCCCAAGAACTAGACGACACATAGGCTGGGAGTCAACTGAGGTTTTAATCACAGGTCACAGTATTTATGCAATTCCCCATGCAAGGGGTTTCCAAACTGACATCACAGGGGTTGTACAGGAGGGGACTACATGGGGGACTTACAGTACCACATATTTCTCCCATCAGGCACCGCTGCACGAGAGGGATCATCCTCCCAGAATGCACCGTTAAGGGGATTATCCCCTCGTGCAGCAGAACCGGCAATTCACATAAAAATCTACAACTGGTATAATATACGGTGGATTTACACGAATGGACGTTCGGTAGATAGCTGGGGTCTGGGTGCATCATTCGTGAGATTGCCGCTCAGATCCCAGCTAGAATAACCAAACGCCGCACAGAAAACACATTTCTTTCCAAACCCACGAAAAGAACCGATTGCTTTTAGTGAACCTGGTCCTGAAACTCCCGAACGTCCTGGAGGCTCAGCGGTGTTCGTGCCGTCGAATAACTGTTGGTAATGCTATGCGTTCGACGACACGGACCCGCTGAAGAACCAGGGATCCAAGATGGCCGACCGCCGCATGGTCGGTAGTCGAACGACGGCCACCCAGGAGAGCCTCTAATAACCGATTGCAACAATGTTGCAATCGGTTAACTAGCGCCACACGCCTCTAAGTGTGTGGGCTATTAGGGGGTATCGCATTCGTTTCACGAACGGCCCTCCAAAGTGCCGTTCGCGAAACGAACGGGAATCCCCATACAAACCGCCATTTGCATTCGGCGGAACAGATAGGTACAGGTAATGCAGGGAATACATGAAGCAGGCACATACAGTTACAACGCATCTCTCTCCAGACCTATAGGCAACCCTTAAAGGCATAGTGTCCAGTTATAGTCCGAGTGGCTAGGTTTGCCACAATGCTCCCCCAGAACCAAGCCGGCATACACAGTCTGATCCCAACGGATCGGCTTGGGGATGTCCGGAGGAGTACTCACGAATCACGGCTCCAAGTCTGTTTGTCTAGACAACCCGTCGGCGTTGCCATTCTGCTTCCCAGGGCGGTAGTGGATAGTAAAGTCAAAAGGCTGCAGCGCCAAACTCCAGCGCAGCAGCCTGGCATTGTCTCCGGACACCCTGTTCAGCCACACCAACGGGTTGTGATCCGTGAGTAAAGTGAAGGGTTGCCCGTATAAGTAGGGTTGCAACTTCTTGAGGGCCCACACCACAGCCAGGCACTCCTTTTCAATGGCGGCGTAGCTTACTTCCCTGGGTAAAAGTTTTCGGCTTAGGTAAGCTACGGGGTGCTCGCCGCCATCGGGTCCAACTTGGCTCAGTACTGCTCCCAATCCAAACATAGAAGCGTCTGTGTGGACGAGAAAGCGTTTAGTTGGATCAGGAGCAGAAAGTACAGGAGAATTAACCAGCGCCGTCTTGAGCTGTTGGAACGCCTGCTCACACTCTGGGGCCCAGACTACTAACTTAGGGAGGTTCTTGCGGGTCAGGTCTGTGAGGGGTTTGGCGAGGGCGCTATAGTTGGCCACAAACTTCCGGTAGTACCCGGCGGTCCCTAAAAAGGCGAGCACTTGGGTCTTGGTGCGAGGGGTAGGCCATTGGGCGACTGCCTCTATTTTAGCAGGTTCGGGTTTCTGTTGCCCACTCCCTACCCGGTGTCCCAGATACTGGACTTCCGCCATACCGATATGGCATTTGCTGGGTTTTAGGGTCAGTCCGGCCTCTCGGATTCGGTCTAGAATGGCTCCTATGTGAACCAGATGTTCGTGCCAGGAGTGGCTGAATATGGCGATATCATCTAGATACGCGCAGGCATACTCCTGGAACCCATCTAACAGTCTGTCCACCATTCTCTGGAAGGTAGCTGGAGCGTTTTTCATCCCGAATGGCATAACCTTAAACTGATACAGGCCAAACGGGGTGACAAAAGCCGACTTAGGGATGGCGTCGTCCGCTAAGGGAATCTGCCAGTATCCTTTGCACAAGTCTGTAGTGGTTAGGTATTGACCCCTGGCCATTTTGTCGAGGAGTTCGTCTATTCAGGGCATGGGATATGCGTCAGAGGTCGTTTTATCGTTGAGCCGTCGGTAGTCTACGCAGAAACGGGTCGTCCCGTCCCGTTTCGGCACCAGTACTACCGGGGAGGCCCAGGGGCTGTCCGAGTGCTCTATTACTCCTAGCTGAATCATCTCCTCAATTTCCTTGCGCATATTCTCCTTGACTGCTTCTGGAGTGCGGTAGGGGGTCGAATCTAACGTTTCTACCTTATGGGTAGCCAACGGGGTATAGCCGGGTAAATTGGAAAACGTGGCCTTCTTTTCCCGAAGCAACTTTTGTACCTGGGCCCGTTCTTGGGTATTTAATCTTTCTCCTAACTGTACCTCTCCCAGATCTCCGCTCTGGCCCTCTTGGTCTAGGAGATCGGGTAGGGGTAGGTTATCAAAATCTTCCGTGGCAGGGGCACAGATTGCGGTGACTTCCTCAGTCCGTTCGTGGTATGGCTTGAGCATGTTCACATGGAGCATGCGTTTGCCTCCCACGCCGGTAACCGGGCCGATCACATAGGTGGTGTCACAGATCTGTTCCACCACCTTGTATGGGCCCTGCCAGGAAGCCTGCAGCTTATCTTTGTGGACGGGTCGCAGGATTAGGACTTTCTGCCCCACCTGAAAGCTGCGGTCCCTGGCTCCCTTATCATACCATCGGCGCTGTCGTTGTTGCGCTACCTGGAGATTGTCTCGGACGGTCTGGGTTAGCCTCTCCAGGCGTTCCCGGAACTCGAGCACATATGGTAAGATAGGGGTGCCATTAACGGTTTCGTCTCCCTCCCAGTGTTCCCGTATCAAGTCAAGAGGTCCCCTCACTCTCCTCCCGAATAATAATTCGAACGGAGAGAATCCGGTGGATTCTTGTGGCACTTCTCGATACGCGAACAGTAGGTGGGGTAAGAACCGCTCCCAGTCCTTTTGGGTGTCCATGAACGTGCGGATCATTTGTTTCAGGGTTCCGTTAAATCGTTCACAGAGCCCATTGGACTGGGGGTGGTATGGGGAGTTGAGGATTTGTTGTATCCCACATATTTTCCAGAGCTGATGGGTCACTTCCGCAGTAAACTGGGTGCCTCTATCGGAGATAATCTCCCGGGGAAATCCTACCCGGGTGAATATCCTCATCAGGGCTTCGGCTACCGTTTCTGCGTGTACGTTCGTTAGGGCCACTGCCTCGGGGTACCGGGTGGCGTAGTCCACCACAGTTAGGACATACTTCTTGCCGGAGGGGCTGGGTTTTGCGAGGGGACCTATAATGTCTACTGCCACCCTACTGAATGGTTCTTCAATGATGGGCAGAGACCGTAGTCGGGCTTTGTATCTGTCCCCCCTCTTGCCTACCCTTTGGCAGGTATCGCAGGTCTGACAATACCGCTTAATATCCTGGGAAATACCTGGCCAAAAGAAATTTTGGGTCAGCCTGTGCTTGGTCCGACTGATGCCTAAGTGTCCAGACAGGGGGATGTCATGGGCTATGCGTAACAGCTCTAACCTATATTTTCGAGGCACTATTAGCTGTTTAATGGGCAACGGTATTGACCCGGACACTACCTTCTCTGCGTGCCGATATAGTAGCCCTTTGTCCCAGATATACCTTTCCCCCTCTAACCCAGCTTGATTTTTATCCATGCGATCTTTGTACACCTGTAACGAAGGATCTAGGGCTACTTCGGCCCCGAACTCTATGGAATTGGCCCAGGGCAGGGTAGGGGGTAGGGGAGGGTCATTGCTTACCTGAGCCTCAGAGTGTTCGAATGGTGCAGTGGTGCGGGCCTGTTGCCGGGTCACAACCGGGTATGCTTCTTGTACGGTGGGCTGGGGAACAAAAGCCGAAGTCAGCTCCCCCAAATCGTTGCCCAAAATCACATCCGCTGGCAAGTCTTGCATCATCCCCACATATACATTCCCGTGCCCCGCTCCCCAATTCAAGTGCACCTTGGCCGTGGGTACTTTGTAAATGGCTCCCCCAGCCACCCGCACAGCCACACAGTCCCCCGTGAGCTTGGGCTTTGGTACCAGATGACTGCGTACTAGAGTTAGGGTGGCTCCCGAGTCACGAAGTCCTTGCACTTTCCTCCCCTCCATGTGTACTTCCTGGCGGTGCCCTTGGCGGTTATCGGAGGCGGCCTGGATAGGGTTCCCCTCGTGTAGAGTACCGAGGGGTTCCTCCCGGGTCATCCCCAACTCCAGATTTTGGTCGGATTCGGTCTGTAGACAGTGGATTGCGGCACGGTTGTTCGGGGCGGCGTTATTCCAGCTGGGTCGAGGCCGGTTCCGTGGGCAGTCTCTCTGGATGTGCCCCTGTTGGTTGCAGGTATGGCACCGGATTGGTGGACGTGCTGAATATCTGGGGGGGTAGGAATTCTGATTTACCCCTGGTCGCTGGTACGTTGCGGGGCCCCCTGGAGGGCTGGCCGTTGTAGGGGGGATGGTGGTTCGGGTTGGTAGGGGTTGATCTCTCCGATTGTCCTGGAAATCGTCTGCCATATTAGCCGCTTCCTGCAGGGTGTGTGGCTTTCTGTCCCGGATCCAGTTTTGTAGGTAGGTCGGGACGCCATTGAAGAATTGTTCCAGTACCATTAGCTGGAACAGACCCTCCAATGTATCAACTTGGGCGGCCTCCAGCCACCCTTTGGCAGCTCGTTGTAGCTGGTGCGCCCACTCCACATGGGTGTCCTTACTGGGTTTTTTAATGTCCCGAAACTTCTTTCGGTATGCCTCTGAGGTGATGGCATACCGGGCTAGGATGGCCCGTTTTACTTTAGCGTAGTCTCTACTATCCTCGTCTGGTACTGCCCGGTACGCTTCGGCGGCTCGCCCAGATAATCTCCCCGCTAGTAGGGGTACTCTATCTGCATCATTAATCTCGTGCAGCAAACACAGTCTCTCGAAATCCTGTAAATAGTCGTCAACGCCACCCTCTGTCTCCACATAGCTTTTGAAGGCTTGATATGGGATTTTGGTTTTCCCTGGGAAACTATGGACTGGCGTTGCGGCTCTTTCTCTGGCTTGCTGGTTTCCTGGCGGTCCCCTAGCCATAATGTAATCCTGTACATCGGCGAACAGCCGGTTAAACATTTCTGTAGATGGTGGTTCCGGAAATAAAGCCAGTCGTGCTCGGAATTCCGCTGTAAATTCGTTGTTTTGTCCCTCCATTTGAGGTGCTGCAGCAGCTGCGGCTCTGTCTCCTTCCATGAGCTCCGTAATTAGGACAGCCTTTGCCTTGTTACTGGCGATTGCTCCTCTTGCTTCCAGCAGCTCCTTTAATGTGCTCCGTTTTAGCAGGGTGTAATCTGTTCCCATTCACCTGCTGTTCGTGAGGTTTATTCGAATGCGCTGATTCCCGAATGCTTGTTCCTTGATTCGTTTAAAAATCTGCCGAACGTTGCTTTGCTGTGTAAATTCAATCCCGTCGCTTGCCACCAATTGTAGCGGAGAGGCAGTATGATCCACGATATCTCCGCTGGGTAACAGGAACAACAAAGGATAATCCAGGGAATCAGCATATAGTAATCCAAACAGCACTGCAGTAACCCTTCCTTCCCAAGAACTAGACGACACATAGGCTGGGAGTCAACTGAGGTTTTAATCACAGGTCACAGTATTTATGCAATTCCCCATGCAAGGGGTTTCCAAACTGACATCACAGGGGTTGTACAGGAGGGGACTACATGGGGGACTTACAGTACCACATATTTCTCCCATCAGGCACCGCTGCACGAGAGGGATCATCCTCCCAGAATGCACCGTTAAGGGGATTATCCCCTCGTGCAGCAGAACCGGCAATTCACATAAAAATCTACAACTGGTATAATATACGGTGGATTTACACGAATGGACGTTCGGTAGATAGCTGGGGTCTGGGTGCATCATTCGTGAGATTGCCGCTCAGATCCCAGCTAAAATAACCGAACGCCGCACAGAAAACACATTTCTTTCCAAACCCACGAAAAGAACCGATTGCTTTTAGTGAACCTGGTCCTGAAACTCCCGAACGTCCTGGAGGCTCAGCGGTGTTCGTGCCGTCGAATAACTGTTGGTAATGCTATGCGTTCGACGACACGGACCCGCTGAAGAACCAGGGATCCAAGATGGCCGACCGCCGCATGGTCGGTAGTCGAACGACGGCCACCCAGGAGAGCCTCTAATAACCGATTGCAACAATGTTGCAATCGGTTAACTAGCGCCACACGCCTCTAAGTGTGTGGGCTATTAGGGGGTATCGCATTCGTTTCACGAACGGCCCTCCAAAGTGCCGTTCGCGAAACGAACGGGAATCCCCATACAAACCGCCATTTGCATTCGGCGGAACAGATAGGTACAGGTAATGCAGGGAATACATGAAGCAGGCACATACAGTTACAACGCATCTCTCTCCAGACCTATAGGCAACCCTTAAAGGCATAGTGTCCAGTTATAGTCCGAGTGGCTAGGTTTGCCACATGGGGGCTGGAAGGTCATTTGAGATATTTGTAAGAACCCAGTTTGTCATCAGATGCCTATTTTAATTCCTTCTCTAATGTACACACAATCTCATTTGCTTATACATACACATACAACAAACACTCATTTATAAATACATGTTCTCTCTCCTTCTCACACAAGTTCACTTGGATCTAATGATCAGAATAATAATAAAGTATTTAACCAGGAAAGGTACATTCAGACTACTCTGGTTTTCAAGTACATCCTATCTCACTCTCTCTCTTAGGACATTGCAGGGGGAGCCGCACAGAGTCCTGTTTGAGTTTAATCCCGAGACCTCGGAAGAAATACAGGTTATGCCAGGAAACATTGTGTTTCTCGTCATGAAAGGAGCAGACAACTGGGCCACTGTCATGTTCAATGGAAAGGTAATCGTAATTCAAGGGCATTTTAAGATCTAGTGGTTCGGGGAAGGTAGTATGTCATTTTATAATGTATGTATTGACATATGTTTCTTGGCCCATTGGAACTCAGTTCCTGTACTATTTGCAGAGGGAACAGAGTTCCCACTATTCTTACAGTGAAGGGAGTGGCTTTGCTGACAGTACAACATTCATACAAAGCCCTGGACTTTATTTTTTGAACCGCAGGAAAAGCAAATTAAGAAGTGCTCTACCTAAATCTTTACTTATGCAGTTTTTAAATCCTCAATTCTCTGTATATAGTCATCCCATTGTATAGCGCTACGGAATTTGATGGCACTATATAAATAATAATAATTATAATAATGTGCTTCTCCCTTCACACAAAGCTGCCATCATTTGACACACTTAGATGCTGTTTGGGGTGGTAAGGTCAAATGGCCCTTTAACAGCCAGCTTCAATTTCCAGTGTGTTAAGAGTGACATTTTATTCTATTTGATTACAGAATTTGAAGATCTGTAATGCTGCAATTTTCTCATTTGATAATTAAATCACTCAAACTAGCCTGTATAATAGCATTAATGGTGGGTACATGTATATATATATTCATATTCTTATTTTATTATTAAAATGTTTTATTATGCTATCCCAGCAGGTATTTTAAAATGAATATACCCAAACCGCTAATTGCACTGCATATAGACAAGGGCTGCCCAATATGTAGACCCCAGATGTGGTAGAACCGTGATGCTTTGCATGTCTTTAGAATGACAACACTTCATGGGAGTTGTAGTCCTTCCCCATCTGGGAATCTACCGATTGGGCAGCCCTGATATAGACAATATATTGCATTTACACATTCCAATATGCACCTCACTGCGCACAGGGTTTAGCAGACTTGTGTGTGAATTACAAACACGTAAAAATGGATTTAAGTGTAAAAGGTTTTTATGAATCCGTGATGTCTCCTCAAGGTTATGGGTGCAATCTTGTGGCTGATTATCTATAAATGGCCAGTAGAGGGGGCAGGCTGCTCAAAGCAAGATGGTAATAAATGCACCATTGTAGGAGTAAAAACAAAACTTAATATATAAAAGGCAGACTAAAAATGTCCAGGTGCCAACAAAGAGAAAGAAATTATGTTACTGTCAGCATTATACCTGGGGTTGAAAGATCCACCATGATTTCCTTGTCCACCATTACTTCTCTATGTTGATGGGCGGTACACATAAAGTAAAGTATAGACCCCATTTTATATACATGGTTAGATGCTGTCCTTCAACAGGCTCACCCCTGATTCCATTCAGGGAATAATTCAAACTTCCAGTGACCTTTCCCAGGAATCAAATATCAAGAGGAGGAAAAAGAAAATAGCTTTCCTTTGAAAGACTGGAAATGGCACACACTAGGGCAGAGGTGAGCAACCTTTGGCACTCCAAATGTGAACAACAGCATTGTTGTAAAAACATTATGGAAGATGTAGTCCACAACGTCTGGAGTGCCAAAGGTTGCCCACCTTGCCAGTCCTCAGGATTGCGCACTGACGAAGCAATCACTATTCCTAAAATATTTGCAAACCATGCATTTCCAATACATTTCACCAAACACATCTTTACAACTCCATCTCAAACCAAACACTACCCTTATGTGTATCATAGAGATAAAAATAATTTATAAACTGATTGGTACTCGTGTATGCTAGACTTCCCTTTACTTTGGAAGGAAATGTATCATAGTGGTGCAAAAAAAAGAGGAGGCGTCACTAATGGAATATACCTACTGGTTCCAATGGTTTTCATGGTGATTGCCCAACCATTAGTACTTTAGCTCACTTTTCAACTCAGATAAAACCTCCACCATTAAAACGGTTGCAGATAATAACCAATACATTGGGGTTTATTTCTCCGAAAATAAACACTTTTCTAGATCACCTCTCCATAGAGTAGACACAGACCTCAGGCTGATTCACAAACCAGAAGTGATTCATCTTGTGTAGCTCTCATTACAATCATGACTCTAAATTATTAACGCCAGTATAACGAATAATTGCTGGCTTTTACCGGGCTTGCCCTGTGAATAAGAGAGGAAGGACCTGCAGAGAAACTGGAATCCATGTCCACCAATCCATGATGGAAAGCTTATCAGCCAACACCTTAGAAGGTTAAATAAGAACAGACAGGGAGCTAGAATATAGGGAGACCTACAGGTGATACTCCAAAAAATTAGAATATCGTGAAAAAGTTCATTTATTTCAGTAATGCAATGTAAAAGGGGAAACTAATAAATGAGATAGGCGCATTACATGTAAAGCAAGATAGTTCACGCTGTGATTTTTTATAAGTGCGGTGATTAAGGCTTATAACTCATGAAAACCCCAAATCCACAATCTCAGTAAACTAGAATATTACATGCAATCAATAAAACAAGGAGTGTACATAGAACAATATCGGACCTCTGAAAAGTATAAGCATGCATATGGACTCAGTACTTGGTTTGGGCCCCTTTTGCAGCAATTACTGCCTTAATGCGGTGTGACATGGAAGCTATCAGCCTGTGGCACTGCTGAGGTGTTATGGAAGACCAGGATGCTTCAATAGTGGCCTTCAGCTCTTCTGCATTGTTCGGTCTCATGTCTCTCATCTTTCTCTTGGCAATGCCCCATAGATTCTCTATGGGTTTCAGGTCAGGCGAGTTTGCTGGCCAATCAAGCACAGTAATACCACGGTCATTGAACCAGGCTTTGGTGCTTTTGGCAGTGTGGACAAGTGCCAAGTCCTGCTGGAACATGAAGTCCGCATCCCCATAAAGCTCATCTACGGAAGAAAGCATGAAGTGCTCTAAAATCTCCTGGTAGACGGCTGCGTTGACCCTGGACTTAATGAAGCACAGTGGACCAACACCAGCAGATGATATGGCTCCCCAAATCAACACTGACTGTGGAAACTTCATACTGGACATCAAGCATCTTGCAGTGTGTGAATCACCATTCTTCCTCCAGACTCTCTGGGTCCTTGGTTTCCAAATGAGATGCAAAAGTTGCTCTCATCATAAAAGTGGACTTTGGACCACTGAGCAACAGACCAGGTTTGTTTTGTTTTTCTTTAGCCCAGGTAAGATGCTTCTGACGTTGTTTGTTGTTCAGGAGCGGCTTGACAAGAGGAATACGACATCTGAAGCCCATGTCCAGGATTCATCTGTGTGTGGTGGCTCTTGATGCACTGACTCCAGCCTCAGTCCACTCCTTGTGAAAGTCCCCAACACTTTTGAATGGCCTTTTCCTGACAATTCTCTCCAGGCTGCGGTCATCCCTGCTGCTTATGCACCTTTTTCTTCCACACAACTTTCTATTAATGTTCTTTGATACAGCACTTTGGGAACATCCAACTTCCTTCGCAATTACCTTTTGAGGCTTTCCCTCCTTATGGAGGGCGTCAATGATGGTCTTCCCCATGATTGTGATTCCTACTGAACCAGACTGAAAGACCATTTAGAGGCTCAGAAACCCTTTGCATGTGTTATGGCTTACTTAGCTGATTAGAGTGGGACAATGTGGGCCTAGAATATTGCACCTTTTCACAATATTCTAATTTACTGAGATTGTGGATTTGGGGTTTTTATGAGCTGTAAGCCATAATCATCGCACTTATGACAAATCACGGCTTGAACTATCTTGCTTCACATTTAATGTGTCTATCTCATATATTAGTTTCCCCTTTTACGTTGCATTACTGAAATAAATGAACTTTTGCACAATATTCTAATTTTTCGAGTATCACCTGTAATGTAAATAATTGTGTTTACAGACAGCTGGTGAAGTATTAAGTATTGTGATGCTGGTGGACCACCAGTGTTCTAACCTCCAGTCCTGAAAAGCTTCTGTGGACATCCACCAATCAGGACAGGGAGGACTATTACAATTAAACATATGGGATAACAGGGGCTGAAGCCATGGGAAGCACTATCAGGATATCCCAGAAAAACTAGGAGGGCCAAATTAGGTTATTTAAAAAAAAAATCTAAACCTTTAAATCCTAGGTTCTGGTCTCTTTGTTTCCTGGTTGCACCCAAAGTACCAGAATCTTATTTCTTCATTCGCGGTCAATATAAGAACATTCTTAACTCGACCCTTTACATTTAAAATATAAAACCAAAACAGGTTAAAATGCTGAATATTCTATTCTTGCCAATGTACTATTGACATTTGTAATATGAAGTGTTCACCTCTAACAGTTTTACAGTTTGCACGTTATGGTGAATTTTGTTTTAAGCTTTGCACAAGGACAAAGGATTTTCTCAAACTCACATAAAGCGCTACAGGCCAATAGTAGGATTTCTATCACTCTGGACAATTTTCCATCATATTCACCCAGACTTCTGGCCAATAATATCTCACACAGATCAAGTATCAGTACAGTATATGTACAGTTGGGCTTAATGTTGTGAAAGCATCATAGGAGTTATTTTTCAACAGCTGGGGTTCCAGCCTTTGGTCAATCCTTAGGTATATGTTTTTTCCTCCAAATATACAACTTGTACTTTTCAATCAGGTGCTTTCCTGCCGTAAGGAGTTGGCGGTTACAATACTGACTTTGCGTTTCTCTTTTTGGCATTTAGAAAGGCATTGTACCATACAATTATCTGCAGCCAGTGGAACTGCGCTTTCAACAAACTCAGGTAATAACCATACAACGAGTACATGGGTTTTTTTTTTCACTAAACAATGCGTTGCGATTAAAATAAATAAATAAAAATAATGAATTACAAATTTTAGATTAAAATAGTGGATTTGGAAACATTCTCCAACCCAGCTATAGTCCGTACATGATCATATTTTTTTAGCCCGTGTATTGCAATGTGTTCAACTCAGCATGATTCAATACTCCATGAATAAAGCAAAGCTGTTTTTTGTTTTTTTTTTACTTTGAGAAAGTGCAACCCAATTGCCAGTCTATAAATACAAAAAGATAACTAACACACCCACTAAATTTTCTGCAGAATACTCTTTATATGTATTTGCGTACTCATCTAGAACTAGAGATATTTGGAGTTATGCCGGAGAATAAAAAATCCGTTACCCTGAGTTCTACTCACTAAACTGGAGAGTGTGAAGAACTGGTATATTTTAAGTGAAAATACTGGAGTTGGAAAAGTTGTTGATTTGGACAATGTTTTATGATTTGGCTGTTTTGGCCCAAAATATGCAGCTCCCAAATCCATTCTTCAAATTTCCTGGTTTACGAATTCTATAATCAAATATTATTTAGAGCAATATCCTCTGTATATATTTCTTCCACCCTTTGTATTCCGGTGTTCTAAGGTTACTTTACCTTTTTAAGAATATCTATTAAATGTTATATTTTATGTGTCAAGTTTATTAAGGACATTATTTAACCAGGACAGGATTATGTTCTTTTGTTTTGTCTATTGAAATTTCTTTGAAGGGTTATCCCCTCTAATCTGTCCTAAAGATAGTTTCTAAACATTCCAGCAGCTTCCTATAGCTTTCTAAAGTTCAGTCTAAGCACAGTCAAGGCGCGCACACAGCATTGGAGACGAGAAAGAGAAATGTTTTTAATTCTTCTCCTCTTTGTAGGTCAGGCATAGGTAACCTTCGGCACTCCAGATGTTTTGGACTACATCTCCCATGATGCTTTGTCATGATTATGGGGGATGTAGTCCACAACATCAGATGTGCCGAAGGTTGCCTATCCCTAATATAGGTGCAAAGTACAGGGTTTATACCAGTGATTGGCACGAAGCCAAGATGGAGGTAGTCAGCTCCAGGTTAGAAAAAAAAAATACACCGCAGTACATTTCTGTATTTATTATATTTTCAGACACAAATATATATGTTAAATATCATTGATAAGTAAACATAAATCCTTAATGACCAATCACATATCATGTCGCCCTTATCATAGGATTTGTTTAACTCGTTGTGATGGAGTTAAAAAGCAGTGACTTTAACTGGGTTCCATAAAAGGAGGGTCCTGGTCTTTATTGTTCTGCACTAATTTCACTAAAAATACAGAATACAAGAATTACGTTTATATATCTTTCAGCCTGCTGCATCACATGAAGTCCCCTCAACCAGTGTCCCACCAGAGCAGATAGACATCCCAGCACCACCGACTATTGTACCCCCTGCGAGACCTAACAGTGAGTAGTGAATTATTACAACAATTAAGATGAACCCAAATAGTTTGCTTTAAGCACATTTGTACTGCACAAGTTTGCACTGAACTAGCTAAGAAAACAATCACAACCATATCTTTTACTACTGAATGTAAACTGTAAAGATCACTTTCTGAACAGTTTTAGCGCTTGGTTAGGAAAAGTATCGTTAGATGCACTCACTCTGTGAGAAGGATGCTAGGATATTGCAGAGTGCTTTTCTACATGATTTGACCTGAATGCCTCCTTTCTGGGCAGATTTTGTAATGACCAGTGACAGAAGTGATCCCCTGTCCTGATTTTATACGTGCCAACGTACTCATACAACTTTTTGGATCTAAAACATACATAAATCATTTTTGTATTATACCACGACAACAGTTACAGAATTACATATTTTCTTTTCTTATTTAGCAGTTAAATCCAGTACCAATGAGAAGCAGAAAACAGCATGTTCGGTAAGAGTTGTACTACAAAGTAACCTGCAGGACAAAACCATTGATAGTTTACATTAAAACAGTTCATGCTACGGATTGTGCAAAATGAGAACAAGAAATATTTGGTACTTATGGTACTTTTTTTGGGGGGTTCTATAAAGTAATAGAACATGGGAGAAGCATATCCAAGGTTTGTGAAGCTGAAGTAATAGGAAGTATGATAACTAACTCTGGGAGTTAGACACGAATACATTGGACCATTTATATATAGGGATAGAAGGATCTTTTATTCCTGGGAGCCAAAGACTGATAACAGCCTATTATAGAAGAATTTCTTGTACTTTCTTTGTTGTTGCTCTGTTTTTACCCTTAGGCAAGATGAGATATGTACTGGCTGGGCTGGTGACCTCTTTGATGTCTTTATTACAGGAACATCTTTACATGGTTAAAGTTTACTACAAATACACAGTAGCAATACAAACACCACACAAGCTTGCATATGAAGATCTTCTCTTACTGATCAGCAGCAAATTGAAGTGTACACCCTGCAGTATCAAGCTCAGGTAAGATCAATTATCAAAGAATAATAGAGAGGTGTTCATGAAATTTGTGCTTAATCCCTTTAGGACCATACATTACTATGACATTTAGAATCTCCATAAAATCTGTCAGTCAGTAAAAGTGATTGGGAAAGGTGGAGACAGTCAGCACAAAGCTTTGCCAGATGGCATCCATGGGAAAGACTTTCAAGCTGTATCCAAACCCTTATTCAGAAAGATCCTGGTATTGGGTATTTGTGAACTCTTGGGTAGGCTAATGAACCAGCCATGGTCTTGCTGTAGAGAGATGAATAAGTCTGTTAAGGACCTCTTGTTCATTAAAGTAAAGGGCAAGAGCAAAAGCACAGGTGGTAGCCTGGGGCCACAATACTCAAAAGTAAGTGTTGTCCATGATGCGGTGTCAGACCTTGCAGAAAACAAAAACAAACATTTGCACCTGCCACTGTTGCAGAAGATGGTTAGAGTTGGACCCCTCCACAGAGACTTGGAAAAAGTTGGTGGGCATCTGGGCCTTCTAAAACTTGGAACACAAGCCTGGCTTGGACTTCTAACCTTGCTTAGTGGACAACAATTACAAAGAAAGACCCCTGCTGGCCCCTACTTTGCTTGTTTTAGGAATGGAAACACCTTAAATATCACCCATCAGCAATAAAATTCTTCCTGAGACTGAAAAGCACTCTTAGCCATAAACACCTTCAAGATAGGGGCTTCCAAAGGCCAACCCAGGTGATCCTCAAAAAGTGGTGCATCACAAGCCTCAATTTAGAACACTGGTAGACAGTTAAACCACAGGACCCTACACAAGAGAATCTGCAAAGTAGAGTTCCTGGCGAAAATTCTCAGAACATCAATGGAAGTATTTAGCATGTAGGTAAAAAATGCGGAATTGCACACTCTGTAAGTGTTTCCCAGATGAGACTCCAACACTTATAGGTTGATAGCAGCTTTTTAATCAGAGAATTTTTCGAAGTGTTTTACTAACATTTAATACACAAGGATTGACTTTATATAGTTTATTCATCCATTACAAAATATCTATGTTATACAGTGATACTGTTACATTTTTTTAGTTTCAAAGATGGAGATGCTGATGTAACACTGAATAAGGACAACATAGAAAAAGCTTGGGAGTTAATCACAGACAATTGCCTGAAACTGAAGTGCACCGATCTAGAGGTAAGAGAAAAACAATACTTACTGTAACAGGCCAACAAAGATGAAGGGATCGGATAACCAGGACAACACAAGACCACCTAACATACCTTCCCTGGCAGATTCTCTGCTAGTGCAGTACATCCTTGAATCATAACGAACATTGGTCATAACATTTAGATTTCTCTCTCTAGGCAGAGGAATCCCCTGTGGTTGTAGAGGAGATTGACAGTCAAAATACTCTCCAAGATCAGGGAAACACAGAAATCCATGTGACTGCTCTGTTTGACTATGAAGCTTCACAACCAGAAGATTTGTCTTTTAAGAAAGGAGCAATAATTAAAGTACTGTCTAAAGGTAAGTGTTGCTGGTAGGATTCTAGGTACAAACTAAAGAGTAAATAGAGTAAACAGAGAAAACAAAGAAAGTATTTGACAGAAAATTAAACAAGATGTAGAAATGGCAGTGCTTGAGATATCTGTATTAAAAAGAGTTACTTTAACACATAGGGTTACTTCAAGCATCATGTTTATGTAGTAGACCATGAAGAAATTAGATTTACCCACTAATTGATTTGCATTAAAAACAGGTCTGTCCCATGCACCAAATTAACACTACTATGTTGACCTCATGCAGTATGCACTATATATTAACATAAAGTCCTGTTTTCACAGTTTCCAAGGATTGGTGGGAAGGTGAACATCAGGGAAAAGTGGGAATCTTTCCTACAGCGTTTGTAAAATAAAATAAAAAAAGACTATTTCAGAAAACCAGTTTCAGCCGTCAAAGTCCGTAAAAATAATATTTAAAATTGTGTATTTAATCCCTTGTTTTGCACTGAAGAGATTAAAATAAATTTAAAAAATTGTTTTAAAAATTGGTCCAGATTTCCGTTGTGAATTTTGTACATTGTTATTTTATTATGTTGCATGTATTACATATTTGATATATATGTGGCTTGATACATTTTACACATGGTAATAGTTTTATATTATGAACCTTTTCTGCTGCAGTATATATGTGAGGCATTTGAAATGCCATTAAAAACAAAATAGCAAGTGGTACTTGGGTGCCAAGCAATATAAAATTATTGCTTGGATTGGTAAGTGCTACAGGCTGTGTCAAAATTTGAGCAATGATGAATTTGTATTCCAATTGACTTCAGGCAGAAAGCAGACCCTTCATCACCACAATAATTATGTATGTCTGTAGATTAGATCTGAGGATATTGCTCCAAGTCTAAAGTCATTTTTTTTTTTAGTAATAACATTTAAATGCTGATGCTACCTGCTATCACTTGTGGCTGGAAAATATACCTGCAGGAAGACCTGAAACCACTGTAGATAATCCAGAGAAGAGCTATAAAAGGAACGTTCCAAGCACCCTGAACACTACAATCTCCTGCAGTGGTTGTGGTGCCAGGAGTGTCTTGAAGCTATCCCAGTGTAATCCATCAATTCAGCTGATGCGCTCAGCCAACAAAAGTTACCCTGCTTACCTCAGTAATGCTAACTAGATTCTTCTGCAGGAGAATCTTGAGGCACAGTATGCAGCCATAGGTGCCAGCTGCACACCTTTTTAAAACAGTTTGATAAATTACACTGGGAGGGCATAAAAACACTCCTGGCACCAGAACTACAGTGCACTGTTGGTGTTTTGGTGCCATGCCAACCCAGAGTCATTTGTCAAACATGTTAAGAATAATAAACTTTTTTTATGTGATCAACAGTTTGAGATTTCCAATTTTTACAAGTACTAACAGTACCAAATACCATGGTAAACACTGAAAAAAGTAACAATACATTGTGTTTTTCATAGTGCCTTAAGTCATGGTTGAGCTTAGTTTGGAAATGGTGAGATTGGATTGTATTTTACGAAAACATTATTTGTAAAACTGGGTTCTAAGCAACATTAATTTCCCTTTATCATACAAATCTTTTAGATATATGTACTTCAAACTCTTACTAAGAAGGATGGATTTAAATTTCTTTAGTCTTCAAGTATGCCATCAAATAAGATATTACCCCATTTCTTGGTACTCATTTTATCATACTTAAAAGTATGAGAAATTGTTTAAACCCTGTTGGGAAACATAAACTGGGACTCAGAAGTTTGATCCAGTAGTTCTGCTGAGGCAATTTCCAACAAAGCTCACAAAAGACCCCTTAACATTTTAAAGAAGAAAAAAAATTAATAAAAATTCAAAACATTTTGTTGATGGGGGAGGGGAGCTTTTTATGTCCCCTTAACAAAAATATAAATCAAGTGTTGCCTCTATGTAAACAGACAGATAGAATAAGCAAGCTATTAGAATATAATTTGAACAATACACATCAAGATTTAATAGCATAGTTTAAGATTAATCAATAAGTGCACACAACATTGCCAGATGATCTTAAAATAATGTTTATTAAAACTTAAGTGCCAGTAAGATAGCCCTCCCATAATAGCTCTTGATGATAACAGTTTTGCTTAATGCAGTCAGTACTACCTTGGCATAGGTCTGTTTTGGAATTTCTAGAAATCTTATTAGGATTCATCTACTGTCATACAGTGTAATTAAAAATAATGTTTTCACACCTCCAGTGTAGGAATTCTTGATTGATAAAATTTAAAAAAACAAAAAAAACAAAAAACTCCTCAAACACACATCCCTATTGCGCACACACACACAAAGAATCATCTTTTAAATTGATAAACAAAACACCATCCTCACAACCGCCACTTCCAATAATGAGTGTTGCAACCAATAACCAACAATCCTTCTTTGTTTTCTCTAACGGACTCCAATATTGAGATGGTGCGATTGCTTCAAGTTCAAGAGCGGAAAGAGAGGTGGGGGTGGATATACTGGGATATATATACGGTAGCTGCACTAGTGTGAAATCTCACTTCTACTGGTTGAACAACCACCAGATCACTATAATCCAAGAAAAAAATAAAATAAAATAAAAAAATCGTTCATCCCTTAATAAATAAAATATAACCATTCCTTCTAGTACTTAAAGCACATTACTATTTGCAAGGTTGTCCATCAAATAATGTAGGGGGCATTCGAGGAGTTCTAAAAAGTCTTACATATTGTTTTTGTTCCAAGAGGAAAGAAAGACAACTCATGCAGGTAGCTGTAGAGAAGATGAGTTTATTAATGGTAAAGCAGATCCGAGCGAACGGTGCTCACACAAGAACACAAGGAAAGGTGGGAGTGGATAGGAGTCTCTGCACTCTCTAGATCCTGCTAAAGGAAGGATGGCCAAAAGGACATCTCGTCACCTATTTGTCCAGCCAAGTGGAACTGCTTTGTCCTGGAGAAACCTAGATTATGGGCAAGACAGCCAGTCCCATATAGTATGTAACGTGTATGTTCAATGGATGAAGTGTTGAACGTGCTGGAGTACGCACTGGTACTCTTGGCATACACAGAAATACACCAATGCTACATGACAGAGTTGTGACAAGAAGAACCACTCTTTCCTCGTAACTGTAAAAGTGAGGGCACCCCTGCCTTTTACACTGCATGTCTATCTGACCATGTGCTCATCAACTAGCATAAACATCCTGATGCTCACACACTTCTTGCGTGCAATGCTATTCAGGATGCCGGAGAAATGAAGAGGATAGAACAATCTCTGTTCTTGATTTGTGCTATGAACTCTGGCATGTGTATCCGACATTGCATTGCCACTTGATCCAATACTTCTGTTACCTTTCTGCCAGATGAAAGGGACTTTTTCAAAGGGGCAGGGTAAGAAAACCACCTACAGCTGCAGTCTAGCTGTAACAACTGTGACGCTGTTTATCTAGCATCTACTTGTCCTAATTCCTGCCCCACCTTAAAAGCACCACCTTCTAATATGTCAGCACCCATCCTGCAATACACAGCTTTAAGGGAACATAGAGCGCACACACACAAACACACATGACAATAAAGCAGGCAGGGAGACAGACACCAAAGTAGATTAAGGACACTCAATGGGAACAAGCAAGCATCCATAACCATAACACAAACACTCACCCCCTCACCTCTTCCCCAAAGAGGGGAAAGGAAAAGAAATAAAGCCACCCAGCCAATCACACCACCTTCAGCCAGCACAAGCTGATGGATGAGAGGGGACAAGTCCCTCTGCTTCCTCTAATAGAGAGAATTCCTGACATTCGGCTGCAATTAGGATGTGGAGGTAACTTTATACATCCTCCACCATGAAAAACAACCATAAAACTCATTAAAACTTGGATGCTCAGAGGGAGGTTCTCATTTCCCCTGCCTGCCTTACGCTGCTGGGGGATATTTTCTATCCATGTGTTAGGCATAGGTTTGGGGGGTGCTGTGAGAGGCATGCACAAATAACGAGAAAGATGGGGGCACAATAGCCCCTTCCCCCTAAACTCAAGAAGCCCCATGTTCCTTCTGGATGGGAACTTCCTGCTGTGTCCGTCAGGTGACGTTGCCGCCTGCGGGGCTGGGGGTTTTCAGATTGTGTGGGAATTGCTGGACGCTCTCCCACACATGCTCCCCCCAGATCGGTGAGGGGGGAGAGAAGGCTGCCCTCCTCAGGGCTCAGGACAGATCCTGCCCTGTGCTGCTGATCCGTCATGCCATATGTCACTTAATTCTTCTCCCCGAATTCCTCAGTGCGGGGGGTTCAGTGATCCTTGCCCTCGTTGCTGCTTCTCCTTCTGCTGCATCAAGAGCTGCTCCAAGGCTGAAGGGCCAGGGTGCATCATCGTGGTTGACCAGATGGACTGAGAAAGAAACATATCAATGGTGTGTTACACAACAATCACTGCTTAATACCCACAGAAGACGAATATATATATATATATATACACACACACATATATATACATACATATATACACACACACACACACACATACACACACACACACACACACACAAAAGTTTATGGTGGGAAAAAAATTGTGATTGAAAACCCCCTTCCACCTGAAGTCTGTAGATAGTTAATACAATGTTAAGCCGTGAGTGGTTCACTGGCTTTGCATCTTTTCCCAAGTTGTGTTTCAAAGCTGTTGTATACAGCAAACACAGACTCAAAGGAATCCATGTTTAAAATGGAATGAGACAAAAATTTGATTCTTTATTAAGCTAATTTGCATATGCCCACCCAGAATCCTTTGTGGTAGTAACATCACATTGCAGATTTGTGATTTCTGAGGGGAAAAGCAAGTCGGATGGCTTGACTGGTGTGCAGATATTTGTTTAACAAACATTGTATTAACTATATAAATATCTTTATCTATCCATATAGATAGATAGATAGAGATTATAATATACACACACACACACACACAGATCTATGTCAGAATATTTGAATCGAGAAACTAAATTCAGCCATTTTTATTTTGTTAAATGCATTTAAAAAAAAAAAAAAAAAACACTTTTCAAATTTTTACACACATATTTCGGTTTTCAATGTAATTTAAATTGGTCATCAAAACTACCTCCTAAAAAGACATTTCAAGAAACATTATAGCGTTAGAAATACAAACATGTATTCCAAATATATCCATTATAGTGTCCTGTAGGTGTTTAGAGGTCTGGCTCCTTTACAGTACATGAAAAAGGTGAGTCTTCCCTCTCAGTGCAGTCCTGATTCCTTTACTGAGATCAAATCAATCAATCTTGATAATCTCAGCTACTCCAATGTTTCCAGAGGTATTGGGAGTCTAGTACGCATGCGAAGCGAATAGTCGCACCGCGCCAATTACTGCTCAGAGTTTGACTCAATGTAAAAGTGCCTCTAATGGCTGTCCGGAAAGGAGGTGTGTTAACCATGCAATTGAAACACTGCAGTTTCTACAAATCCGCAATGTTTTACATTGCAGAGTTAAAACTAAAAGGCCACTGCATCCACACCAGTTCATTGAGATTAAGGGGTCTGGATGTCTTTAGTTATCCTTTAAATTCAACTTACATTTCCCATAATTTCTATTTTACAAGGTCTCAAAAGGCCTCAAGTGTTCCTCACAAAACTTTCAGGATTAGAAGGTATTACAGGACAGAGTTTGATAAATCTTGGGTGCTTGAAAGCTCATTCAGCACTGCCAACCATAGAGTTCCCACCACCCGAGGTGGGCAACTGTGCGGACTGGAGGCGGCGAGGGAGCTGTAATCTTCCTGCTCTGCTCCCTTGTGCTTCCTGCTGTGATGTCGGGAGCCAGGATATGACGTCACTCCAGCCCAGCATCACTAAACAGCGCATGAGGGAGCAAAACATGAATAGCTTGAAGATTACAGTTGGACACAGCTGAGATCATCAATTTTAATGAATAGGAAAGCATTGGGAAGCTATTGTACATGTGCGGCACAAACACCACACTGCGCCAATCAGCATCTCCTCATAGATATACATTGAATTAATGCATCTCAATGAGGAATGTTCTGTGCCTCTATGCAATGCGTGAATATGCTGAGTGGAGGTGCTGCACTAGACTGAGTGACTGCCACTAAAGGTGTTACTAAGCAGCAATGTAAACTTTGCCTTTTCTCTGAAAAGGCCAGGTTTACATTGAAAATCTTGAAGGGATAGGCTGTAGACACCAAACCACTACATTAAGCTGTAGTGGTTCTGGTAACTATAGTGTTTCTTGAAGAATTATATTTTTCCCCTTTAAAACAAACCTTTGTTTAGAAGAAAAAAAAAATGGCTCCTAGACTCAAAGTAATGTT